AACCAGCCCCAGCGACCAAGGAAGCCTTGGGGACGCTGCTTCCCAGTCTCAGGCATTCTGTTACAGCAACAGCAAACAGTTGACACTTCCCAGTTGCTAGGTACCTCAGATCAAACAGTGGAGAGCTGAAATTTATGGACATAGTTCCCTTCCTCCTGGGGGGGCCCAGAGGACTTTCTTCAGACATGCCTCACCAAGGCAGGTAACCAATCCCAAGGGGTCAATGCTACAGCTCTTCAACAAGTCCCCCACTAGGTTCTCAGGCTCCTCTTTCAGCCGTTGCTGGCCTTCATGGGCACTAGCCTCATCTTGAGCTCCATCTCCAGCTACCTCACACAATCATGTAGCATCCATTAGGGGCATCCAAAGGCCTCATAGTCCCAGGTTTGGAACAGATTTGCTTGACTGCCAAGCAAGACCATCAGCTACATGTACCCATGATTCCTCACCAGGGCTGGCAATGGAGCTCGGTGGTAGAGCACTTGCCTAGACGTGTGAGGTTCTGAGTTTCCAAAGATTAAAAATAAAAATATAAACCCACAACCTTTATTTGCTGCTGGATGGGACTACAAAAAGGTGTATCCACTATGGAATTTAGTATGGAGGTGTTTTCCACTGCTGTCATAAACACCTTGACCAAAAGCATCTTGGGAAGGAAAGGGTTTATTTTGTTTTAGTTTACAGTTCATATGAAGGGAAGTCAGGGCAGAACCTCAGGCAAAGGCCATGAGGACTTCTCTGGGCTTCCATATACCACCAGGGACTACCTTTCCAGGGACTGTCACCCACAGTGGGCTGTTACCTGTCACGTCAACCATCAGTCAAGACAATGCCTACAGACAATCTGATGGAGGGACCTTCTCAGTTAAGGTTCCTTCTTCCCAAATGACTTTAGTTTGTGTCAAGTTGGCAGAGACTAGCCAACACAGGAGATTTCCAAAACAAACAACAACAATCCTAAAAACAGAACTACGATATGACCCAACCATATCATTGCAAGCCGACCTAACACAAACATTTTATGCATCCATGTTTCCAGCTGCACTGTTCGTAACAGCAAGGAAGGGGAAGCAACAGATGAATGGGTAGGGAAAATGTGGTCCATATACACACAGGAATTTCATTCATCTGAAAGATGAGTTCATGACACTTGCAGCAATGTGAATAGGACTGGAAATCATCTTAGGTGTCCATGCCCAGAAAGACAGACACCACGTGTTCTCTCATGTGTGCATCTAGATTTTAATTCCTCTGTGTTTGTGTGTATAGGGGGCACAGGTATTCCACCTAGAGTAGGGGAAATGAGGTCTTCTGGGAAGGTTGGAGGGGACTGGGAGAGGCAGGAAGACGTGAAGGGGAAGGAGCGGGGCGGGGGAAGAGAATAAACAAGACAGTGACTGAAAGTCTTACGGTGAAACCTCTTTATGCACTAATCTAAAAAGGCAGTAAAAAAAGTTTTAAAAGCCTCACAAGTTGGAAAACGAATTAATTAGATTCCTCACTACAAACAGGAAGCCTAGTGCTCTGCAATTAGGGTCATGGAAAACCCAATTCTGCTGGCAGGTGCGTGAACACTTCTGAATCTGCTTTGTACTGGGCCACCTCTTCAGAAGCCCAGACACCTCCTGCTCCTGTCCCAGTGTCCCCAGGCCCGCCACCTCTCTCCATTGGAAGCTGAGGGGGTCTCGCTTTCTTTGCTGTGTGGTGATCTGTTATGTGGCCCTGCTTGTTGATCTGGGCACTATGTGGAGAGGCAGGGGTCCCTGCCCAGGCAAACTCCCACATCAGTGTCATTCCAGGCAGGTGCCTCTGTGCGGGTGGGACACTGTCAAGGTCAAGGCCAGGCAGCTTTGGATGGACCTGTTCACTGAGCTCCTGGCCCATCAGTGGGGAAATCACTGGGTCTTAGGCTAGTTATTCTGATCCTCAATCTGGGCTGTGACGCCTGCCTTAGCGCACACAACAACTTGTTAAGGTTTGGAGGTAAGGTAGGGTCAGACAAACTAACGTAAGTGACCAGGCTGGGATAGCCCACTTTTCTTGACCACTCAGAAGCCAAACAAAACAAAACCCAAAAACCATAAAGTCAAGCCCTCAGCCAGAGGGGCAAAGAGAGGTGGCCTAAGAGAGTAGGGTACCTTGTCCAACTCTTGGTGATACAGGAAACAACCTCTCTCCTCAGAGGGACACCAAGGTCTTCTCGGCTCTGGGTAGCAGGCCCATTCCCATTTAGTCTCAGAGCTACTGCAGAACTCCAGGCCCTGCATACGTTGATTTAGGTTGAGAAGGTAGGGCCCTGCCACGGTCAGCGCAGTCATGAACACAGACAGGCCCGGCAAACAGAGCTTCCAGTCTCATGATCCCAACAACAAAGCCAACCTCCAGGACCATCACAACTCCAGGATGGATGTGAGAATTTCAAACAGGGAGAGGGGGTGGGGGTGGGAAGAGTAGTTCCCATTTGCCAGTCAGAATGCTATTTCAAGAAAGTGCCTCACTGTGCTCCCGCCCCTGCTCTAGGTGAGGAACCCTTGAGTCATTTGCTCATTCTCTAGAAGCGCCTGCCAGGTGTTCTCTTCCTAAAGTGCCAAAGCGTACCACAGAACCAACAGAAAATGGTGCTGGGAGGAGAAGCAGTTTCCAGGGAGCCACGACAGAGCCACCTGGGGCAGATGGCATTCCGAGAGGACACCGGCTACCAGCCCTCCGGGGGCGGGGGCTGACCCTTCCCACACTCTGCCTTTGTGGACACAGCAAGCTCTCCCTCTAGGATCTGGGAGGGACAGATATTATGGCCAGTGCTGGCCCGGGACAGTTATAGTGGGTGGACACTCAGGAGCCGCCAGACATCAAGTATGCCTGGACGAGGGTTTGCCTTGGGCAGATCCTCCACTGGGTCTGGGCCCCAAGTTTTTCTTTGGTGCTGACCGAATGAAGATGAGGACATGGGCACTACTAGATATGGTTGAGGAGAAGGTGTTTATTGTAGATATGAGGGAGAGAACAGCCAGAGGCATCATCTGGAAGGGTCCAGACTGAACATGACCAGCAGAATAGAGTAGGCCATGAGAGGAGAGAGGAGAGAGAGAGAGAGAGAGAGAGAGAGAGAGAGAGAGAGAGAGAGAGAGAGAGAGAGAGAGAGAGAGAGAGAGATGGGGTAGGGGATGACTAAGACAATGACCAAGAGGGCAAAAAGACCAAGAAAACCAAGCGAGGGGCAGAGGAGAACCAAGGGAATGAGGACCTAGGGTGTGGGGCTCAAATTGAAGAGGTTTAGGTAGAGAACTTGGTGGCCAGCTTTGATGCACTAATAGGCACCTCAGCCATTTGTCCTGAGTTTCTTTGGGACCTAACGGCGATGACATGTTTGCAAACACCTCAGACCTTTTGAAAGGTTCTAGCTAGACTGAGGCCAGAGGGTGGACAAGCTGGGAAGGGACGAGGGCTCGTGAGGTGAGAACAAGGGGGTTTCTTACCCTCTGTGTAGCTCTCCTAGGAAGGGGCAGGAAAATACAAAATATACTTAACATACTCCCCCCAAATCCTTGACTTATGCACCCCAGACAAACCAAGGGAGGCCTCTGGAAGACTAAAGGGACTCTGATGTCCTTGAATGCCCTTTAAACCACTCTGGCTCCAGAAAGGCAAGGCTGGGAGTGGTGAAATCCTGGTGAGGCTGAGAGGCGTGGCAGCAGTGGCACATGCCCCGCCCCCCTGTGTCCTCTCCCAGGCCAGCTTGTGCCACCCTCATCTGCTCACGATCTCTTCCTCCCTTAGGAGGCCCTCGCTCTGAATCAATTTTGATTAATTCCTGCTCAGGAGCGGGTTTTCTCTCACACAAAAAGCCATCTGGAAGGGAGACACAGACGTTTAGCCTCAAAACTGCCGCCTTTTTAGCCTTGGAGAATGGTCTGTCCCCTGTCATGTCTGCGCTTTAGGACACATCTCGGGCGCAGCCGACACAAACAAAAGGAGTCACACACATGCCGTTCCCCCTCTCTCCACACTCCATCTCCGCTTTAATGGGCTCTGCTTCCGGCAGCCACTCTCAGGGTCAGTCCCAAGGTCCCAGCCGCCCTGTGCCCTATCTGCTGTCTGGAAGCAGCTTAGGGACAGACAGGGTGGGCCAACTGGCAGACAGCATTAGCCGCCGAGGGTGTGGGCAGAGTGCCCAGACTTCCAAGGGCCCCACCTATCAGCTTTGAGTGGGGTGGTGGGGGGCAGGAGCTGGGTGCTTCCGTTGTCTGTGTGTAAAGTACCCCCCGGGACACTGCAGGACCAAGGTGGTGGACTAGCCTTCCAGGGGACCCTTGAAGCAGGAGACTTCAGGACCATGAGATATGCTTTCTTGCTTTAACTTTCTACTTGCTGGATACTTCGAGATTTTTTTTTTCTGTTACAAAAGTAACTGACGTTCAACTGACCGACAGTTTCCTAAAGCATTTCTGCAGCTGGTCGGCCCTTTCTGGAATGAGATGAGGGTCAAGGGGCAGTCCCTGCTGGCTGCACATCGCGTGCCCCGCACAGTGGAGTGATCAGTCCCGGGCTACCAGCACCTTGCTGCGTCCGAAGGGGGCCCTGAGTACCCGCAGGGTGCCGTACCCCAGCCCCCCTCACACACACACCGCGAGCTTGTCCCCAAGCAGGCTCGGTCTCCTGGCCCGTGGGCCACGGCAGTGTCGCCCGTGCCCGGCAGGGGGCGCCGTCAGTCTCGGGAGGCTGCGGTGCCCGGCCCCTGACGTCACCGCCCGCGGTCGCCATGGCGACGGCCTCACCAGCGCGCGCGTCAGAGCCTCCAGTCTCTTGGCAACCGCCCGATCTCCGCTCCCCCTCTACCGGCACTGGGCCGCGCGTCGCTCTGGCGTCAAAGCGACGTCAATGGGCTGTGCCGGGCTCGGGGGGCGGGGCGGGGCGGGGCCTGCGCGGGGCGGGGCGGGGCGGGGCGTTGCCGCGTGCGGCCGGCGGCGGCGGGGCGCTGACATGCGGCGCGGCCCGGGCGGCGGCGGCAGCGTTGGCGGCGGCGGCGGCGCGAACGGCGGGCGCCGAAGCCGAGCGAGCAGTCGAGCGGGCGGCGTCCCGGGTCGGGCGCACGGAGGGCGGCGGAGGTGAGCGGTAGCGCGGGTTCGGGTCCCCGTGGCCCGAAGGTGCGCGCGTGGGGTCGCGGGCAGGACTCCAGCCCCGCGGGCTCCCCATTGTTGCGGGTCGGAGCCCGGAGGCGGGTCCGCGAGCGCCGGGTTTAAAAGCCTGTCCTGGGGAACCGAGCGCGGGTGGACGGGAGCGCGGTACAAACCTAGGACCCGGGGATCCAGGGGCTGGCGTGGGGTGACCGCGGGTGGACTCCTGGCGCGCGTGCCCGGTCAGGACCGGGGGTCGGGGGCGCGTGCGTGGGGGTTCTTGCGGAGGGAACCTGGAATCGAGGGGGCACGCGCGTGGGGGCGCGGACTAGGAGCCCAGGATCCGAGGGCTAGGGCTAGGGAGGATTTGGGGTAGAGGGATCCGTTCGTGGGGACTTTGGTCGGGGAACACGGGGTCAAGGAATGAGCAAGTGGGGGTGCGAGCTGAGATCCAGGTTCGGGGGACAAACTACTGGGGCCGCGGGCTGGAGGGACACGGCGAGGACGCACGCGTGGTGACCTGACGGACAGTTTTGGTGGCCGCGTCGTGGAGGCTCAGGCTGGGGTGGGGGGTTCGGGGTCGGGCCGGCGTCAGTCGGTGCTGAAACGCACTCCTCGCTGACCCGCAGGTGCTGCCCGAAGCCATGGTGATCATGTCGGAGTTCAGCGCGGTCCCCTCGGGCACCGGCCAGGGCCAGCAGAAGCCCCTCAGGGTGGGCTTTTACGACGTGGAACGGACCCTGGGCAAAGGCAATTTTGCCGTGGTTAAGCTGGCGCGGCACCGAGTCACCAAAACGCAGGTGCGCGCGCGTTGGGGGAGACTAAACCAGGGGGTGGATCCATCCAGGGGGTGGACCCCTGAGCTGATTCAGTCCTGCAGAGTTGATTGTCACAATTGTAAACGATGACAGTGTTTAGTCTGGTAAAGGGAAAAAAAAAGCTTTGTATTATGTTTCTGCATAATTTGTACAATTACTGGGGAACAGCAAAGATAATGACCAACAATCCCCCACACCCCCGCGCAAAAAATAGAAAACCAACCAGTAATGAGTGCCTCCTGTAAAGCTAGATGGCAAATACAAGGGCTTTTATTTAACCTCTACTCCTTTAAATAATGTCAGTGGCTACCTTTATTTTCTCCCAACTTTTTGTGACCTTTTGAAGACATCAAATGTTTGAGAAATTCATTTGTCACCAAAAAAAAAAGTGCCGATGAGGTTAAGGTTACTTGAAGGTTTATTTCTAAACAAAAATACCCCCTTTTCTTTTTTTTTTTTTAAAATCTGTAGGTTGCAATAAAAATAATTGACAAGACACGGTTAGATTCTAGCAATCTGGAGAAGATCTACCGGGAGGTCCAGCTCATGAAGCTCCTGAACCATCCGCATATCATCAAGCTGTACCAGGTGAGCTGGCTAAGCCTCACTGCTCCATGGGTGTGCCCATTGCTCCCGTGCCACACCCCAAGCCTATGGACCCTGAAGGTGGCTGGGGTTCCTGATGCTGTGGGAACCAGGGAGTGCAAAGTGAATAGATTCACCTTCAGTTAGGTCCCTCAGCTTTACTGACAGTTACTCTCTTGCTCTGGGTCATCCTTGGTTTGCCTCATTCGAGTTTTATCTAGTATTGTTACTTGTTCCAGTCTGGGACGTGTTGAGGTCTGTTGATGAAGCCCTGTCACTGTGAGAATAGCCACATGTACCACCAGGCTTAGTGCAGAAGGACAAACGTGAGGGAAACTCGAAACTTCCGCCTTTTGCAGATGATACTAAACGTTTAAAAAAAAAAGCAGCTCGTTCTCTCCACTTTTGCTTACTGTGCCTTTGTGATGGGGCCCTGAGCCCCTGCCTCCCGTTGTTACTCACAGCGTGGAGTGAGGACAGGGAGACACTTCGGCCCTAGGAACTTGCCAGTTAATCCCAGGTGAGAATGTGTCTCTTGGTTGTTTCCTGATGATCGTCTTCATGTCTTGCCTGGTGATAAAGGGCCACTTCTGCTGCCATGAGAGAGAGATGGGTCTAGGTGTAGGAGAGCCAGGCCTTGTGAATGCTGTTGGATGTGCTTGTGTTGGTGTTAGTCCCATCAGTGACTCCCAGAATCCTTGTGAGACTGAGGTGATTACAGGGGACATGCGTGTGCGGTTGGAGAACCCACGTGCACAGTGCTGTAGAGGAAAGAACTGTAATTTATAATCACCCCGGCTGCCCTTCTTAGCACAAAGGCAGACAAGTCACTGGAGCTTGTGTTTGGCCTGTGGTGACAGCCCCTCCGTGTCTCTAAGCACAGAGCCCTGGGCTGTGTCTCAGGAGTCATGCTTTATTTCAATCTTCATCTTTCAGTTGCACTGGAGGATAAGTTTCCTCCATGGCTAGTGCTGGGAGAGGGGGCTGGGCAGAGGGCCTCGCTGACCTTCGGAACAGGCTGCCTCTTGTGCTTCTGCCTGTAGAGGTGCTCTTAGCGCCTTCCTCTGCTCCCTGCCTTCGACTGGCCCACCAGGCCAAATGCTTCTGCCTGTAGAGGTGCTCTTAGCGCCTTCCTCTGCTCCCTGCCTTCGACTGGCCCACCAGGCCAAAGCCATAGCACCGAGGAAATGTTGCCCAGGAGATGAATGCCAGAGTGGATATTTTAGCTCCTGTCTTCAGTGACTCAGCTTTCAGGATTGGGTGGGCTGGTAAGACCAGTTGGTCCCCTGGTCTTGATACTGATGTCTAGCATTCGTTCAGCTGGTCGGGGCATCTCATTCTCTCCCTTGGGTAGGGATGGGGTGGGTTGGGAATGTTTGATTGGTTTTATTTGTTGATAAATAGCTCTGGCTGACCCGGTACTCTGTGTCTTGATAGCCTTAGACTTGTGGTGATCCTCCTGCCATAGCCTCCTGAGTTCCAGAATTACAAATGTCTGCCACCACTCGTGGTTTATTTAGGGTTTTAAAAGTTTAAAAGATGTGGACTCTAAGTTCGTTTTCTGTCCCCTTTCCTTCCATCAAGAAAAGGGATAAGCAGGGGTCCTCTGCTGCACTGTGTGGAAGGGAGATCGACCTTTACATTTTTGGCTGAATTGTATTGGTTTTTAATAACAATTTTCTTAGTAGATTTATGACTAAGATTCTTTAAAGTATCTTTTAAGGGAATAACAGTAGGTTTTTAACTCAAAGAAAGCTTTCTTCCTATCAAAGTACATTCTCTTTCCCTCCTTCAAAGTTTTTTTGTTTACATTCAGACAGTTTCACATGTAGACGGACTGGCCTGGAGCTTGGCTGTGTGGCCCAGGCTGGTCTTGAGCTTTGGGCAGGTCTGCCTCTGCCTCCTGAGTTCTGGGAGTACCGGTGTAATCCACCATACCTGCCTCCTCTGAAATATTTAAACTATGCAATATACATAAGTGTTTTTTATTTGTTTCAGAACCAAAAAGCTGAATTTTCCTTTATTGCTAGTTATGATTTGAGTTTTTTTAGGTAACATAAAGTTGTCGGTCAGTGAAGGTGTATGTTGACATTGACCGTTACTGTTGACACACACCAAGCAATGTGCTGTACAAAGAGCAGATCCCTGTAGCTTATCTGGCGAGGCTGTGTTCTCAAGGCTCGATGTCTTGTCAATAAAGCAAGTGGGGGTGGGATATCTGTATTGATCACTCAGTTTGCTTTTTTTTTTTTTTTTTTTTTTTTGGCTTGGGTGACCAGTTGTCCCTGGGTGCTCATTGGATTCTGGCGTCCATGGCCTCCAGAGCTCCCAGGAGGCCTACAAGGCAAATACCTGCCCTGTACAGCCTTGTTTGTGGCTCTGTCCCTTTGAAGAGCAGAGGTGCTGGGGTAGACAGGATCAGGAAGTAGCGGGGCATTATCCCAAGTCTTGTAAAGTTGTGGGTTGTGTGTGGGTTGTGTTTCTTTCCCCCTCCCTCTCTCTGACCTTAAACGAGGGAGGCAGTTTCCTGAAGAAGTCAGAGTTGCTTGGGGTTGAGATCCTTTCTCCTCTTGTTGTGTTTCAGGTTATGGAGACAAAGGACATGCTTTACATTGTCACAGAGTTTGCAAAAAATGGAGAAATGTTCGGTGAGCTGCATTCATTTTAGCATTAGGTGAAGCCTGCCTTCTCATGTATGCCTGCATCTCCTGGGGTTCTCAGTGCTGCTCTGTCCAGCCCCAGGTAGTAGCATGTCTTGGGGTGTAACTTTGTTTTGTTGTTCCTCAGATTACCTGACTTCGAATGGGCACCTGAGTGAAAACGAGGCTAGGAAGAAATTCTGGCAGATTCTGTCGGCAGTGGAGTACTGTCACAACCATCACATAGTCCACCGGGACCTCAAGACGGAGAATCTGCTTCTGGATGGCAACATGGACATCAAGCTGGCAGGTCAGAAAAGCATGGCGGGCTGGCGGGCGAGGGAGGCCCTGTGGGATCTCTGGTTCCAGTGTACCCTGAGGCCATAACACTTGCCAGTCCCAGACTGATGCCAGTGCCTGTTCTGCCTCACAGATTTTGGATTTGGGAATTTCTACAAGCCAGGAGAGCCCCTGTCCACGTGGTGTGGGAGCCCCCCATATGCAGCTCCTGAAGTCTTCGAGGGGAAGGAGTATGAAGGCCCCCAGCTGGACATCTGGGTAGGAACCTCTTTGGACCCTGCTGCCTGCTACCACATGGCTGGAGCTGGCACACAGGGCACCAACACAGCTGTCTGGTTACTCACAGAGCCTCGGCGTGGTGCTGTATGTCCTCGTCTGTGGCTCCCTTCCTTTTGACGGGCCCAACCTGCCGACACTGAGACAGCGGGTGCTGGAGGGCCGGTTCCGCATCCCCTTCTTCATGTCTCAAGGTGGGTGGGCGTGGAGTTGGTCTGCCCTGGGAGCCTTGGGTAAGCTGGGTGGTGGCTTTGGGGAAGAGGTGGTGGGCGGGTCTTGGCGGTGCCCGCCCAGCAGTCTAGCAAGTCTGTCAGTCAAGTCAGGACTCAGGTGCAGGTGATCAGGCCGCAGGAGAGACTCAACCACAGGAGCTTTCCCAGTGCCCTACTTACAGCTTGTGCGGGACCTCCCCGTGCACACTGTCTCCTGCAAGCCTCATCTCTGCAGGCCCCCCACCATCGGCCCCCCCACCTCCGCAGGCCCCCCACCATCGCCCCCCACCTCCGCAGGCCCCCCACCATCGGCCCCCTCACCTCCACAGTCCCCCCACCATCGGCTCCCACCTCCACAGTCCCCCCACCATCGCCCCCCCTCCGCAGGCCCCCCACCATCGCCCCCTCTGCAAGCCCCCACCATCGGCCCCCCACCTCCGCAAGCCCCCCACCATCGGCTCCCCACCTCTGCATGCCCCCCACCATCGGCCCCCCACCTCCACAGTCCCCCTACCATCGCCCCCCTCCACAGGCCCCCCACCATCGCCCCCTCCGCAAGCCCCCCACCATCGGCCCCCCACCTCCGCAGGCCCCCCACCATCGCCCCCCTCCGCAGGCCCCCCACCATCGCCCCCCTCCGCAAGCCCCCCACCATCGGCCCCCCACCTCCACAGGCCCCCCACCATTGCCCCCACCACCGCAGGTCCCCCACCATCGCCCCCACCTCCACAGGCCCCCCACCATTGCCCCCACCACCGCAGGCCCCCCACCATCGCCCCCACCTCCGCAGGTCCCCCACCATCGCCCCCCACCTCCACAGGCCCCCCACCATTGCCCCCACCTCCACAGGCCCCCCACCATCAGCCCCCTGCAGTACCCACGTCAGGCTCCACATTTCTGCTGCCCGGCATCAGACCCTAGGATGTGTGCCCCAGACCTCATGTGTGCCACAGCAGGAGGGAGAGTCTAAATGGTTTTCTACAGGGAACATTCAAAAAAGTGTCTTCCCTGGGTCTGGCCCCCAACATGGTGGCTCTTTTCTGTAGCAGGACGGACGCCTATAATGCCAACTTCAGGCTTCTTGACTATCGTGCGGGTGGTTTTGCTGGCTGGTGGGCTCTGCTGTGGGAGTGGGAATGAGCCCCCAGGCCCAGCATCCTGTGAGTGTGAGCCCTTTACTTCCTCAGACTGTGAGACGCTGATCCGTCGCATGCTGGTAGTGGACCCCGCCAAGCGCATCACCATTGCCCAGATCCGCCAGCACCGATGGATGCAGGCTGACCCCACCCTCCTGCAGCAGGCTGACCCCACCTACTCCATGCAGGGCTACACCTCCAACCTGGGCGACTACAATGAGCAGGTGCTCGCCATCATGCAGGCCCTCGGCATCGACCGGCAGAGGACAGTGGAGGTGAGCGCGTAACCCTGCCCGTGCCTCGCGTCCAGGAACGGCGGGGTCGGCTTTCTCAGGCAAGGCAGGCCCTTGCCCGTGGAGTTAAAAACGGTACAGTCTAATTTAGGGGCCAGCTTGTGCCCTTCTCTAGGGATAGTCATGGCTGCCTGAGAATTACCTGGGAATAACCTCACAGGGAAGCCCAGTGGTCACTGCAGCCAGGGCCTCACTCTGACCCCACTGACCTTGTTCGCCAGTCCCTGCAGAACAGCAGCTACAACCACTTCGCTGCCATTTACTACCTCCTGCTGGAGCGCCTCAAGGAGCACCGAAGCAACCAGCCCTCATCCCGGCCCAGCCCCGCACCTCCCAGGCAGCCCCGGCTCAGAAGCTCGGACCTCAGCAGTCTGGAGGTGAGGGTGAGCTCTCTCGCAGAGCCCTGCTCCTGTCCCCTGACTCTGAGTTGTCCCCTCAGAGCTCGGAATCCCATGCTTGGACATGGCACTGACTCTCTGGGCGGTCCCTTGGACCTCATTGCAATCCTAGCTGCAGGCTGTGGGGACAGGAGGGGCTTTGGGGAAAGGGAGTTCTGGCTGCTTCACTGCGGGCCAGGTTCTTGTCCCGAGCATCTCCTCCTGGCCACCTGTGTGTGCATGTGGCCCCCAGATGATGGCCCAGAATCCTGAGCCCCAAGCGCAGTCGGCTGGCTTCTGTCTGTCTTGTCTGAAACCCGTTCGCTGGCTGCCACTGGTCCTTGACCCTGGAACCGCCTCCTGAAAATCCCTCCCTCCTCTCAGGTGCCTCAAGAAATCCTCCCATGTGAGCCTTTCCGGCCCTCTCTGCTGTGCCCGCAGCCCCAGGCATTGGCCCAGTCTGTCCTGCAGGCCGACATGGACTGTGACCTCCACAGCTCACTTCAGGTGAGAGCCGGCCTGCTCCTTCTCAGTGGCTGTGCTCCACCAGTACCCATCCTTAGAGCCCTAGAAGTCACGGCCTCTGTCCCTCCCTTGCAGCCCTTATTCTTCCCTGTGGATACCAGCTGCAGTGGCGTGTTCCGGCACCGTTCCATCTCCCCAAACAGCCTACTGGACACAGCTATCAGCGAGGAGGCCAGGCAGGGTCCCGGCCTGGAGGAGGAGCAGGAGGCCCAGGAGCCCTTGCCTGGCAGCACAGGCCGGAGGCATACACTGGCTGAAGTCTCCACCCATTTCTCCCCGTTCAACCCTCCTTGTAAGTGTCCCCAGAGACCCAGCATCTGGGGTGAGGGTCAAGACCATGCTGAACCCACGAAGCGAGTCCTCCTCCAGTCAGCCTTTTGTTTCAGTGACCCGTGGTTCAGACTTGGACTCGCCTGTGCTCCTCTCAGTAGTGGGACACCCCTTGGCTGTCCTCGGCCCCAGAGAGCAGGTGTTTGGCCTTGGGCCTCTTCCTGTCCTGGGGCCTGAGTGTCGCTAGCGCCACCTGCCCTTGCACCTGAGGGCTCAAAGGCAGAGCCTCTGGCTTCTGATGGCCTAGTTGAGGGTCAGGTTGGAGAGTACCACACCACTGCCTCCCTCACTAACAGGCCAAGTACCCTGTCCCTCAGGCAGTGACCGTTGGGTGTGCAGCCTTCTCAAGCACTCGATGTCTCCACAGGCATAATCGTCTCCTCCTCTGCCACAGCAAGTCCCTCAGAAGGAACCAGCTCTGACAGCTGCCTCCCATTCTCTGCTAGCGAAGGTCCCGCGGGGCTCAGCGGTGGCCTGGCCACCCCAGGGCTGCTGGGCACCAGCTCTCCAGTCAGATTAGCCTCGCCTTTCCTGGGCTCCCAGTCGGCCACCCCTGTGCTACAGGCTCAGGCAGGTCTGGGCACAGCTGTTCTACTTCCTGTCAGCTTCCAGGAGGGACGGAGGGCGTCAGATACCTCACTCACTCAAGGTAAGGTTCCTTTCCGTGCCCGTCCCTCATGCCCCAGGAGAGACTACTGTCCTGGCAGGCTATCTCTGTCCTTGGTGGAAGCTAACGTCCCATCCCCAGCCTGGGCAGGACCATCGGTGCTCCTCAGACAGGCTGGAGGTGCCACCCCAGCTCTGGGCAGCCTAGCTGACAGGGTTGTCCCTGAGTGCAAGGGACAACCATTCTGAGCAGCAGCTGCTGCCTGACAGGAAAGCCACAGTCAAGGAGGGACCCTGACAAAAGCGGTCCCGTACCTGCTTGGGTTTCTCCCTGCCACTCAGGGTCAGGGGTACCTGTGAGGTCCTCGGAGCCCCAAGAGCCCACATCACTGCACACCCCCTCCTCCACAGCTCACCTGGACACACCTGTCTTATTGGGAAGAAGACTAGCCATGGGGGAGGGGGAGGTGTTGGGCTTAGGAGCTGGCAGCTGCCAAGCCCCACAGGGCACTGCTGCCCAATTACCCTTTTTACTTCCCTCCTCCTCAGGGCATGGAAGCAGTGGCAGGCCGAAGGCCTGTGGCCACAATCTAGAGCCGGGCCTGCTAACCCCTGCTCTTGTTTCCACAGGGCTGAAGGCCTTTCGGCAGCAGCTGAGGAAAAATGCAAGGACCAAGGGGTTCCTGGGGCTGAACAAGATCAAAGGGTTGGCACGCCAGGTGTGCCAGTCCTCCATCCGAGCTCCCCGAGGAGGCATGAGTACCTTCCACGCCCCTGCCCCAAGCTCAGGCCTGCAAGGCTGCACGGCTGGCGGTCGGGAAGGCAGGAGCCTGCTCGAAGAGGTGCTGCACCAGCAGAGGTAGGCCCGCCTGACAAAACCTCCCTGTGCTCTCTGCCCTTCCCAGAAGGAGCCCGTGACACAAGCAGCCCACCTCCCTGTGTGCCAAGATGTCCATCAGTGAGGTCTCTGGAGCCTGGCACCTTGTTGTCAGGGAGAGGGCCAGGAGGGGCAGCGGGCAGGGTTAGTAACCCTTTGTGGGTGGAGGGCAGTGGTGGCCAAGACCGTCCTGTCGAGCTGGCATCTGTGTTGCCACAAGAGCTGGGAGTTAGGGCAGGATGGCTCAGGGATGTGTCATGTCACTCACAGAGCTCTGTGAAACTTCATCTGCCAAGAGCAGCTCTGAGGTGGGTGGGACCCACCTGGGCCATGTGGAAACCGGAGTGATTTTGGGCAGGGCCCAGAGAAGTGACCTATCCCCTCCCCATCTCTCCTCCTCAGGCTACTCCAGTTACAACACCACTCAGTCACTTCACCTGGCTGCCCGCAGGGCCCCCAAGCGTCCCCTGTCCCATACATGCTCACTCCCTGTGACGGCCTCCTCGTGTCTGGGATCCCGCTGCTGCCAGCACCGCTCCTCCAGGCTGGCGTGTCCCCTGTGGCGTCTGCTGCACAGCTCCTGGATACCCACCTGCACATCAGTGCTGGCCCAGTGGCTCTGCCCGACGGACCCCTGCCACCGTGCCTCACCAGGCTGGCCCCGAGCTGTGACCCTGCTGGGCTGCCCCAGGGGGACTGTGAGATGGAGGACTTGACCTCTGGCCAGCGGGGGACATTTGTCCTGGTGCAGTGAGGGTGGCCCTACCGCACCCCGCACCCCCCTGTGCAGTGAGGATGGCCCTGCTGCACCCCGCACCCCCCACGGCCCATTGACTCTTCCAAGCAATAATTTCAGAGTATGTGAAGATGGTTTCGGACTCAAAGCCAAGAACTTTCTAGAAGTGAAACAAGCAATATGTTTGGTGTATGGGCTTTTTAGGATTTTTGTTTTGTTTTGTTTTTTTCCTTGCACTGAGTGACCTCAATGATGAATAGGGACTGAAACTTTCTGAAGAAAAATAATAATTGAGGGTGTGTCATGTGGGTGGGTGGAGGGGAGGGGAAGTGAGGTGAGGGAGAAGAGAGGGGCCACGCTGCTCGGGAACCTACACTCCTGTCTGCAGTTCATCATCGTAACTTGATGAGCTCGGATGTCCCCAGAGGGAGCAGCGCCGAGTGTGGCACATGCCTGTGTGTTGGTTGGCGTCGTTTTGGGTTTGGGTTCACAGCTCTCCACTTCTGAAATGGTTATGCTTTAACAAAAACTGTGAACTTGCTGCTTTCCGTGTGGGTTTTAGAACAGCCAGGATTGGCCTAGGGGAAGACCGTTGTCGGGATTTCCCTGCCAGCCAGAGGACAACCTTGTCGAATTTGTGCTTGAGTTTTATAGCTGCTCAAGTCAGTTTGCCAGGCTTATTCAGAGGAAACCACAAAGGACTGGAAGGGGTAGGGACCTGCAGGTGGGCACTCGGTCCCATGGTCACTTGGCCCAGAGCCCCTCACACCGCAAGGAAGCCAACAAGTTCCTTCCTGCCGTGTATCTTGACTCCGCTGCTAATTACCAGATTTTTACGCATTTCATTATCAGGGTCCAACAAGAGCACCTGACGGGGAAATTGTGCAATACCAAGGGGCTGTGACCAGAAGGGCCCAGGCAGCCAGCGGGCATCTTGGTTATGACCACCTGCCTTTAGTCTGGGACCTTTCCTAACACCCTGGCACCCAGGCCTGGGCTCCGTCTGGCTGGCTTTCCAGGAAGCTGAGTATAGGTCAGTGTTTGTAAAGTTTCTTTTGTAAGCAAATACTGTATATGTATATAAATAGGAGACAGACACTACTTATTTTTTCTATTTTGTATACACTTTTGTGTTCCTGGCTTAAACCTCCCTTGGTCACATTAAGAAGTGTCCCCATCTGCACCACGTTTGTGTTGAAGGGGCCGCAGGCCGCCCACCTCCACCCAGGGTAGAGGTGTCAGGAAAGGGGCGGTCCCCCTGACAAGGGCGGGTCTACTTGGTAGGCACAGCTCTGTCATCTGAAAGCCTCTAGAAGGAACCAGGGATGCCGCCCCTTCCCACCCGCTCTGTGTCAGGCGTCTGTCCCTCTGCCTCCCAGGTGACTCCACTATGGCATCTCACCACCGCAGTATTAGCCTGGGGTCATTAAGGGAGAAGAAAGGAGGCACTTTTAAAAGCCAAAGATTGAATGACCGAGTTACCCGAGGCCAGGAAGAGGCTGCCCTCAGCCTGACGTCACAGCACGGCCCTCCCTGTCGGCCCTGTGGCCCATCTTGTACCACTTGCTCTCAAGACAGGTGAGAGGCCATTCTTCTGGGTCAGAACTGGTGCCCTCCATAGAACAAGCCAAAAAGCGTCCCTCCTGCCGACTCACCAGACGTGTGGATCGGGGAAGCACCCAGCGGCCTGGGCAGCCAGCGCTTGTCTCCCACAGTTCCTGTCTGGATACCACAGATCAAAGGCCTGGCCACTGCTGTGTGTCAGAAGCGACAAGCACTTTACTTTCTGGCAGTTTCTGTGTCTTCTAGTCACTGTCGACCCTCTCTGGGGGACAGTAACGTCATGGTTTTAAGTTCTTGTTTTTTTGGCGTGTGTGGTGTGTTTTTGTAGATCCTCACAGCCCTGTCCTGGACTGTAATGGAATCGCCTATTTAAAGACACTACGTGATCTCGGATGTATATAATGGTTTGTTTTGTTTTTGCTTTTTTTTTTTACTATGATGGAATTGTTTCATTTCTCATGTTAATATGAGAAACGTATGCCAAATGATTAGTTGATGTATGTTTTTTTAATTTAATATTTAAATAAAATATTTGGGGGGAAACCCTGACTTTCCCTTGGTTCACCTCTGGAAGCGCCTTCCTTTGAGACACTGTTATAAGGCCCCAGCAATCCGGGGCCTGTTGCATGCAGAGGGCTGGGCTGTGTCCAGGCCTGCCATGGTGGCCTGTCTTAGCCCAAAGCCTGAAACAGGCTTTTCCTTCCTGTGGCTGTTGCCCTCTTTGCCTCCTCCCCCTTTCTCCAAATGTTCTCTGAATCCCTTTACAAATTCTAGAAGGCTTAAGCCTTTACAAGTGTTTGAAGAATTTCACAGAGTAACTCCCCTGATGTAAGTCTTCACTGCCTTTCAGAATAGGACAGTCTCATAGTGCAGCTCCTCTGGGTAAAAATCTTCCACCTCTTTACAATTAGATGACCGGCCCTGGAATGGAGCCCAAGTGCCCTGCAGTGGCGAGGTACCATGATGCCAACTCCATAGAGAATAATGGGACAGTTACCTCCCTTGGGCCTGTACTCAAAAACTTGTCTCAGATGCTTACACACCAGGTTCCCAGGAGTACAATCAGAGGTCAAAGTTTAGAAGCAAACCCAGTATCCATTCATGGATGAATAGATGGGCAGAATGTGGACCCTCCCCATAGTGAAGCATTAGCTGTCTAAGTGCAAAGAACCCTAGCCTGAGTGAATCCGGAGGATGTACCTAATGAGGTAAATCATTTACAGCAGGCAGAGGCAATATGACTGCATTTCTATGAGGGCCTTAGAGTAGTCAAACTCAGAACGTAACAAAGGTTAGGAAAGAGCGTCTGTTTTTAACAGGGACAGAGATCCAGCTTGGGACAGTGAGATGCTTCTGGGGGTGTGACTGCATAGATATACTACTGAACTGTGTGCCCAGAAGCAGGCTAGCACGTTTCACGTTGCGTCTTTGGAGCCATAATAAAAGTGTTGCAGAAAAAAAGACTTTGTGAATGGACAGTAGCTGCCAGAAGGACCCATGGAGAAACACAAGACTCAAAACAAGGACATGCCACTACAGGTGACGAGAACCCAGCATCTATGCCGGGACCCTCGAACGTCTGTGAGGAGCACTGTCCCCAGGGCACAGCCCAGCCCCCTCAGATGACTAGATGGAATGGAAGGCTGTGAGGGTGCCTCCTTGGATCCCAATGAGCCTTGGCGGCTCACGCTGTATGTTTCAAATGGTTACCACATCTAGTCTTGCTAAGTCAGTCATCCATGAGGAAAGTCACCCAGACTACACCTCCAAGAGACTTTGGTGCTGGGACCTAGGTCAGGAGAAATGGCAGGGGCTCAGCTTGGCTCTGTGTGTTCTTAGTGATGTCATTGCCGAGCCTCGGGACAGTAGTCTCTAGTTAGACGTTCAGCTTGACTCCATGGCATATGCAGTGGCCGTGTGCCGGAGAACCTGCTTATTGAGTGAAAAACTTGAGACCAACTCCAGACAACTCGTGTCTCTGGGTCTCCCTGTGTATTTAGCTTTCACGTGTTCTTGTGAAGTAGTAGACGTACGTCTCAGTTCGCCACCTAGGAGGTGCTCTCCAAATGGGTAATGAGGAGATATATATATATATCTCGCGGTGCCCCAGGGAGACTGGGTACCCATATGTGTTAGCTCCTTAGGAAGCGGGTATCAGCTACACTTTCCCCGGTTGCTTCTACTAGACCCTGAGGTGGAAATCAGAGCCTTGGGAAACTTCTAGAAACTTGTGAGACCCTAGAATTCTGACCTGGGCTAGTTGAGCTCACAACCTTTTCCAGTCCCTCTGAGGAGCAGCCTTTGTTGTTGTGGGTCCCTTGCCTGCCGCGAGGTCCCTTGCCTGCCGCGAGGTCCCTTCCCAACCCTGCCCAGGTCTCACTGCCAACATTTTTGCTCTGCAAATGGCCCCACCTTCCCAGGGAGTTTCACAAGATGTTTACATCAGGGACGTGTCCGTTCCTGCCCCGCCACTGGAGAAGCCGAGTGGTGCTTTCACACACCCCTCAGCACACAGCTGCACTTCTGAGAGATGGAACGCACTGGGGTTCTTCAGCTTTCTTCCTCCTGATCCTTCTGGCTAGGGTCCAGGCATACCCCGGAGCAGTGACCACTGTGGAGCAAGCGGCACTTCTGTCCTTGCTAATAGAAGATAGAGCAGTACCCACAGGGCTCAGCACACAGTGTCTCAGTGGCTAAGAATGTGGTCTTTGCTGTCACATGCCTGCCTTTGTGTCCTGGCTCTTCAGCTTTCCAGGCCTGTGACAGTAGACAGATGACCTGGATGGACTGTGCATTAGTGTTCTTGTTTGCAACGTGGTACACTCAGCCACGGTGTCGCCTCTTAGGGCTGTGTGGGTTCTGACTAGTTTATGACACACAGGGACAGCACAGTGTCTGCCTGGATGCTGTGGGCACTAGGCAAACACAGTGATATCCCTAAGCGTCATCCTCAGCAAGGACAGGACAGAGCTTCCTTCCTCCCGCCCCAAGAAGGAGAGTTGTCAACTGGCCACACATCTCCAGGCCCACCTACCTGTCCTAACACTCACACCGAGGGTGCCAACTCCTACAGGAAGTGGCAGCCTTCGCCCAGCAGCCCCTAGATGCTCTTTGGCCAATGAGGTATTTTTATTGTTTGATGGCAGGCTGGCCGTCTCTGCAAAAACCACAGGTTGGAAGGACTTCTCTTGGCAATCTTGAGGAATGGGACCTGCTTCCTCCTCTGCATCCCAGCATGCACTGGGATGTGAGGCTGTTCCAGGTGGGGCCTTCAGAATGGGAACTGAGTCTGACTGAGGAGGAACTGACTCCTGTGGGCAGAAGAGAAAAAAAAATCCAGTTTCTCTTCTAGAATGAAGTTGGGGTGTGTTAGAGGACACACGGGTGAGGGGTTTGGCAAGCACCAATTCGAGGAAACATGACCTTGGTCTTGCTGTATGGGCCTTGAAGAAGATCTAGTGGGGTTTCTTTAAGGCCTGGGAATCGGGCGTGGCTTGTGGCTAGGAGTTCAGTGGAGTTGAAGCGTTTCAGTGCCCCTGCCTCAGAGAACTGCTGCCTCTCCACTTTCATTAGCGTCATTTGGCCTGTTTGAATGTCAAATCTCTAAAACACTGAGAGGGCTTTAGAACACTCAGGAGACCCAGGGGCCAGCTCCAACAATGCTGGTGTTTCCCCTTCTCCCCGGGACAGCCCCCGGGAGTGGGGGCTGGAATCAGGCTTCCCCAGCAGGTGCCTCAAGCTTTCTTTGCAGTCCACGGGAAAGATACATTTTCTTTGCTTTTTCGAGACAGGATCTCGTCTTGTTAAACCCTCGTAGTCAAGGATGACCCTGAACTTCTGATCCTCCTGCCTCTGTGTCCCAAATGCTGGGATAACAGGCATGAGCCACACAGTTGGCTAATCCAGTGCTGGGGATTGAACCGAGACTTCAGCTCTGCCAACTGAGCTGCGTCTCCAGGCCCCCAAAGGTGCATTTTACAAACTCTCCAGCCAGCAAGAGGCTGGGTGGAAAGCAGAACCCTCCACCCTGCTTGCAGGAGGGAAGATACGTCCGAGGTTCAACAGAAGAGGCATCCCCAAAGGACCCCCAGAAAAGAGGTGGGTGCGTGGGGAGATTTGGGCCATACTGAGCAATCCCAAGCCCCTGTCCTGACTTTCCGTTCAAAGAGCCTGTACTACAGATGGTCCAGGGCATGCTGCATGTGGAACATTCCTACTGGGTAGTAGCATCTGCTGTCCCCATCCCAGGTGCTAGAGGACCTACTTCTGTCACTGCAGGTTGGTTGACACTTTCTAAAGTTTTCTACAGAAACACGCAGGGTGGCATCCTGAGTTTGGCTTCCTTCCTTGGCATTACTGGGTGGAGACTTACCGGATGCACCATGGGTCACTCGCTCACTCCTTTAATTGCTGAGTGGCCTCCCTGGTGCATACACATCACCGTGTGTTTACCCAGACACCTGGCGACGGGCACGTGGTTGAGTTCCAGCTTCTGGCTATTAGAAATGGCACTGCAGTGTTTGCGTGCCAGTCTGGGTGGGGACGGTTTCATTTCTCTGGGGTGATATAGGTCAGAGGGCAACAGCTGGACGGCAGGGCATGACAGTGCCAACCTTGCATGAAACTGACGCACTGCCCTGCAGAGCAGCTGCCCCACCTCAGACCTCTGGCTGCAATGTGCAAAGTCCTGTTCGCATTTGGTATCGTCAGGGTGTTTTGTTTTGTTTTGTTTTACTCTTTAGCCGTGCTCTGTTGCAAATAGTGACAGCAGCACCTTTTTGCGATTTTAGTTTGCTCTTTCGTCACCATGCCTTCCTCAGCCTCCCCACTGCTGGTGTTGCTGGTGTTGCTGGTGTTGCTGGTGTTGCTGGTGTATGCCACCACATCCAGTGCATGCTCCTTTTCACCGAGCACCTTAAGAACCATGTCATGGACCAAGAGAATCACCCTGTTTTTCAGGTTTCTTTCAGTTTGTTCACTACTCTTCCTCTCTGTGGTGCTAAGATTTGACCCCAACCTCACGCACACTGTGCGCATCCCTTAGAGAAGGGCCGTGCCCCTTGCTCACGCACACTGTGCGCATCCCTTCTCTGCTACTGGGCCGTGCCCCTTGCTCACGCACACTGTGCGCATCCCTTCTCTGCTACTGGGCCGTGCCCCTTGCTCCTTGCTAGTATTTCGTTGGCTTACCTGACCCCTAATTATTGAATTATTGACATTCTTGATACAGTCATCATGTAAGTCTCTTTGCTACGTGGGTTTGTGTATACAGATACACTTGAAAGAGAGACAGCAAGCTTTCAATGTGAGGCTTGCCTTTCATTTGAAAAGAGTTGAAGTTTTTAGTAAATTTAACTTGTGCATTTTGACAAATTGTAATCCACTGTTTTTTTGTCCTGTGGCTACGGGCTTTTGGCTTTTTGTATCTTTCTAAGAAATCTGTCCATGCTGATGGTTTTAGAATATATATATATATATATATAAATAATTTGTAGGTCCTTTGTATGAATTTTAGGGACATCTTGCCAGTGTCTGACTTGAATTTAAATGTTTGAGAAA